GCAGGAAGGCACAGTAAGTCCAGATGTGATTAACTTTATAAACTAATGTAGATCAGGAGTTTAATTATTCAAATACAATAACATTTCTGCTGTTTAAATACTGAGAGAGCAAAATAAACCAACACTGTTCTTCTATTTATTTTTAATAATAGTTACATTGAAGCGTTTCTCTCTTCATATTGAGTGATGGAGGCGACATGTCAAACACATGGAGGACTTTAGAGGTTTCTCAGCATGTGATCACACCACACAGCAGGACTTACAGTTATCAGTTATTATTACTTTCTAGTAGTTTCTTTATCATTAAACACACACACGTTTTTATCACAATGTTTAAGAGTTTAAAATCAGATCTATATCATATCCCACCAATACCAGAGTTATGTCTTAATACTCACACTGTAAAATGTTTGGCTGTAAAATTACAGTACATTACTGGCTACTAGTTACATGGATTTCACAGTAATTTACTGTAAATATTTCACAGTAAATTAGGATAAAAGTACAACTAAATACTGTGACTTTACAGTTGCCATGCCCATGGAATTACTGTGATGTAGCAATACAGAGCTGTGGTATTATGGTATCTTGCTGTACATAAATTACAGTAATTAGTAATTACCTGTATTTTCACACTATTACTGACTGTAGAAGTAATGCAACACAGTAGCCAGTAATTTACTGTAAATATAAAAATGTAAATAATACGATCATATATTATAAATTTGACTAGTTAACTGGGATTTTACCTTAACTACACAATTCAATCAGCTCAATCAACAAAGAAAAACAAAGAAAATGCCCATTTTAACTTTTTATTACTCTATTGAAGTACATTTCACAGTGTCTTGGACATGTTGTTACGGCCCCAACCTCTACTCCGCGGTAGTGGCTCGTGCTGAGACCCGCAACATGAAAGAATACACGCAATAACCGGTACTTGGTAACGAGCATTTATTGATAATCAGCCGTTTACTCACACAAGCGAAACGGGAAACAAAAAGAGGTCTGGAGGACTGGCCAAAAGGAACAAACAGAAGGAGGGAACCCGAGCCAGCCACACCACAGGCCGTAGGACCCAGAGCTTCCCTCCCCTAACCAGAAATCAAATATAAACCCTATGGGAAACAAAATAAAGCCGCAAAAACTGGACTACCAGGTCCTCCCGGCTAAACATAAACACATCTGCAAAAATATGGCCTACAGCTCAAAATGGCAAAGAGGTATTCTGAGGAGAGTGTCTCCCGGCGTTAGGATAGGCGACACATCCTTCTCCTCCAGCTTCTCCTTATATATACACGGCTGAGTGGAATTTGGAACACCTGGGCAGAGGCGGAGCCAGGGGCAGACCAGGTGCACCTGGGCAGAGGCGGAGCCAGGGGCAGACCAGGTGCACCTGGGCAGAGGCGGAGCCAGGGGCAGACCAGGTGCACCTGGGCAGAGGCGGAGCCAGGGCAGACCAGGTTCACCTGGGCAGAGGCGGAGCCAGGGGCAGACCAGGTGCAGACCAGGTGCACCCCATGCGCACTAACATGCGCAGCAGGGAGACAGAAAATGAAACAAGGAGGGGAGCACGTAACACATGTCTACACAGACATCCACTCAAAGTCAACAATTTTTCTGAAGAATGTGCTGACATGGGGGTTTAAATGGCCATGCCTCTTTTTGGCTTTCGAGCCCGTCTCAGGATTAATGCCCAGGAAGCACCTGAAAACAATAAGCCAAGACAACAATTTCAATTTTACATAGATTTATATGTTGCATCGTTTATTTTTAAGGCACATGCAGCGGTGCCCCTTTCAATTTAAATAAAAACCTGCACCAAAGAAAGAAATTAGTATTTAAAGCCAAGCAAGAGCGATAAAAGCAAGAAAATCACTTAATTTGTTGTTATCACAGAGGATGGTCTGAATACAGTATTTTACTGTGAAATAATACAGTAACATGTTGTGAAATCCTGGTAATAATGTATCCTGTACATTCACAGTAATTAACTGTGCCTGCATTGATTTAACTGTGAAATTCAAAATTACAGTATTATATTGTGAACATTACAGGTAAAGACTGTAAAGTGGTAAAACAGTAATTTATTGTAAAATATTACAGCTAAATATTGTGAAATCATGGTAATATTTTACAGTGCATATAGTGAGAACATCTGATGGTATTTAGTTTAAAATATTGAGACTTTATTGGTTTGTTAACTGTGTTTGTTATGCACAATACATTTCCAGATGCTCAGAGAAGCCAAAACATCCATCATTCACATCTAAATATTAATTAACATTTAAATATGTACATCTCTAATATTGTCATGTGATTTATGTAATTTCTGTTTCTTTTGGTAACAGTCAGTGACAGCAGGAGCACAGACCTGTGATCAGATCACACTGACAACACATTACACTCTATTATTATATATAATTATATATAAAATTGACTAACAGCAAATCTCAATGAGAACATATGTCAAATATTTAGTTCATCAAATGCTTGAGGTCATTACGTTTCCTCTTTTTTAACACATGTTGTAATATATGTGTTATTATAGATTTACTGACTGTGGACTCTCAGAGGCTCACTGCGAAGTCGTGGCCTCAGCTCTGAAGTCTGAGCCCTCCCACCTGAGAGATCTGGACCTGAGTTACAACCCTCTGGAGGATTCAGGAGTGGAGCTGCTGAGTTCTGGACTAAAGAGTCCAAACTGCAGACTGGAGACTCTCAGGTCAGTTCACTGACTGAACTTCATCTGTTTGTGTTTATCATTTTCTGAATTTGAAAAAAAGACATTAAAATTGTTTCTTCCATTTTTGCTAATGACTGAATATTGATCAGAGTAACAAAGAGAAGTTGAATGTGTGAGGGAGAGTGTTTGAGCTTCCTCAGATCTGATCAAAGTCAAAGTTCCAGATTATCAGTGGATTCTTTCTGCATCATCTCTGACATTAAAGGGGACCTATCATGCAAAATGCACTTTTTGATGTCTTTTCTACATCACCATGTGTCCCCGGTGTGTCCCCGGTGTCAGGAGACTCACAAAGTGTCAGGAAATAAAACCCTCTCTCTTTTCCTCCGTACCCACATCTCTAAAAAGGGGGGAACAACGGAGCTGATCCAGATTTGCTGCGTCATGACGACATACTAAAATGTGGGCGGGCTTTACACCCACGGGCCAATCAGAAACGTTGCTGTCAGAAACAATGAGACGTGTTCTGGAAGTAATATGGTCTGTGTTTACATTAGCATCGCTAACACTCAGAGCTAACCTGTACTGGAGAGAGCATGTGTGAAGAAGCAGGAAATAAAAAGGAACTCACCTTGTGGTAAGCCTGAGAGAGAGAAAGAGTTTGAGCTCCATACTGTTTCAGAGATAATCCTTGATATGGTTTGGAACATGATCAATCACGGCAGCATTTAGCTGAATTTGCCGGGTAATTCTGATCAGGCATTAGCTCCACCTCCTCTTTTTTCAAGCTAAGGACCCGAACCTGCGTTTCTCTAACACCTGAAACAGAGGGATATGAGGGATTTCTAAAATGCATGATCTGTTTGATATTTGCAGCAAAACACATCATAGACATGTTTTTATATATTTGTGTATATCTGAGACCCATAATATATGCCTAAAAATAGCATGATAGGAGACCTTTAAAACCCTGTTTAACTCTGAACAGATTATTAAACCTGGAGTTATTTCAAACAGGAACATTGTTTTCTAAACTTACATCATGTTTTCTTTATTCAGACTGTGGAGCTGCAGTTTGTCAGAGATCAGCTGGTCTGCTCTGATCTCAGCTCTGAAGTCCAACATCCATCTGAGAGATCTGGACCTGAGTTTCAACGCTCTGCAGGATTCAGGAGTGGAGCTGCTGAGAGATCTTCTGGAGAGTCCAGACTGCAGACTGCAGACTCTCGAGTCAGTTCACTGACTCTCTGTTACTGCTGGAGATCTCATGTTTCATTAGTTATTCAACCTGATTCTTCACATAATTAACTTACATCCATTAAGTTGTAAATGTTCTTTTATTCATACTTTCTATTGTAGGTACTAAAGTAAGAACTGCAGAGATAAATGTTGACTGATTCTTAAAGGAACTGTAATAGATGTTAGTTGTAAAAAGTAAATCTATGTTTTTAATATTTAGTAAACGATAACGTCTGAATAAAGTTAATCTGAAGTAATATTAGTTTTACAGGATAAAGTTGACTTTCTGAAGAAGACATGTGTTTTTGTTCCCATTCATTTCAATGTTGAGTAACACATCTGATTATAAACTGATTTTTATCCTCATCATGTTTTCTTTATTCAGACTGATGGACTGCAGTTTGTCAGAGATCAGCTGTTCTGCTCTGGCCTCAGCTCTGAAGTCCAACATCCATCTGAGAGATCTATACCTGAGTGGGAACGATCTGAAGGGTTCAGAGAAGCTGCTGAGAGATCTTCTGGAGAGTCCAGACTGCAGACTGGAGACTCTCATGTCAGTTCACTGACTCTCTGTTACTGCTGGAGACCTCATGTTTCATTAGTTATTCAACCTGATTCTTCACATCATTAACTTACATCCATAAAGTTGTAAATGTTCTTTTATTCATACTTTCTATTGTAGGTACTAAAGTAAGAACTGCAGAGATACATGTTAACTGATTCTTAAAGGAACTTTAATAGATGTTAGTTGTTCAAAGTAAATCTATGTTTTTAATATTTAGTAAACCATAGCGTCTGAATAAAGGTAATCTGAAGTAATATTAGTTTTACAGGATAAAGTTGACTTTCTGAAGAAGACATGTGTTTTTGTTCCCATTCATTTCAATGTTGAGTAACACATCTGATTATAAACTGATTTGTATCCTCATCATGTTTTCTTTATTCAGACTGAGGAGCTGCTGGTTGTCAGAGATCAGCTGTTCTGCTCTGGCCTCAGCTCTGAAGTCCAACATCCATCTGAGAGATCTGGACCTGAGTAACAACGATCTGAAGGGTTCAGGAGTGGAGCTGCTGAGAGATCTTCTGGAGAGTCCAGACTGCAGACTGGAGACTCTCTGGTCAGTAAGGGGTCTCTGCTGGTTCAGCAGTATTGTATGAACCACAGGGAGGTGTTTCTCTCACTGGGGAAACAGATCAGTGATGTTACCCACTGACTGCAGGCTCTCTCATTCTTCCATCTACTATAGAAGGCCAGCTGAACATGCAAAGCCACACTTTAGTAATCAACTCTCTAACAGACATACGTATGGGGTTTTACAGAAGAGTGGGAAAGGTAGTCTGTTCTTATGGGATGTTTTTAGTTTCTAGGCCGGGGGTGTTCAAACTGCGGCCCGGGGGCCAAATGCGGCCCTCGGAATCGGCCCTCAGCAAATTCTGAAAGTATAATGAAATACGGCCCACAAATGAAACTTGTGCTTGTCTTGTATTGTATTGTACTTCTTAAATATATATGTACACATATATTACACAGTAGTATTCATGTGTTAATAAGCCCACCTTTAAAATAAATTCAGTCAATTAAAGCTGAAAACATTTCCTAACAAATCTAACTTGATAAGAAAAAAGCCCAATAACTTATTGTTATAACAAGCGTGAAATAAACCCTTCATACTTCCTGTAATTATAATCAATCTGAAGCTCCTGCTTTAAGGAATGAGCTGCTAACAGAATAAAGTAAACCCTCTGGAGAGCTGTGAGCTGTTTTGTTTCTTAAAGCATCTTCAAGTAACAAGCATCCTTTACCTTCATTTGATTGAGTTTTCTGACTTATAACTTAACTTATGAGGCAACATACCTCTAGTGAGCGGCCCAGACCTTTATATATTTTTCTGTATGTGGCCCTCGGTGAAAAAAGTTTGGACCCCCCCTGATCTAGACCAATGACTACTTCCTGTAATGCAACTGAGAGCTGTGGCAGTCGTAGTGTTTGCAGAGAAGATATGATGGGATGTAAAGCATGAGATCAGGGGGGTATACTACGAATCTAGTTCAACATATCCTGGATATGTTTTGAGTTATCCGGCTGACTAAATCCAAAAAAAAAAAACGCTCTCGCTAAACTGTCCTACGACGCTGGCTATCACCTCGACCGCAAGCCAGCCGTGTCCTATCTAGTTAGGTGCGCGTTCACATAAAAGGGGTGGTATTTGGAGCATTCGACCAATCACAAACATGGACAAGCCGTGTACTGACAGCGCAGCGCGTCATATATTTCCTGAATGAAAAGTCAACTAATATTAGACAAATATGAAGACGTTAAACTTTAAACATCCATGACTTAAACACTTTATCCAGGATAAAAGCCACATAGTTGCAGCTGCAAGGTGAATACTGCTGGTAAAAGAAAAAGTGTTTGAATACGTTCATTAACAGTTTTATGATATCACTGCTGCCCCGTCCAAGACACGAGTGGATCTGACTTTAATTACATTTGACTCGAGTGTCAACTTAATGTGTTGCTTAAAATAATACTTCTGCATACAGTATGTGACACTGTGAGTGTTGCACGGCCAGATACGGCTCAAGAAGCTGACTCAGATAAGGAAATATATGATACATTATGATGTGATATCATGTGATATGAATGATAATGGGGTACGTCTGCACTCACAGTGCCGCGGACTGTAGGTTACTTATGTTGTGGCAGATATTTAAGTAAGCTTTCTTAACGCTAATGTTATAATAGTCAGATTGCTCTGAAGATGGGAGGTGATATTCTATTCATTTTCACGTTCACACAGTCGGTGATTTTGGCCGGCTGTCTTTCCTGCAACGGCAGTTTAAACTGTATTTCCTTTCTCCTCCTGTCATATGAATTGATCGCTTTAAACTCCGCACACTGAGCTCTGATTGGTCAGCAGGCAGTGCTTTTATCCTGGAACCTATCCTGCTCCGGAGGATAGCCGTTCAGAATAAGTTATCTAGCCCGCTAAAAAGTGAACCAGCTTCGTAGGACCGGAAACCCCTGAAGTTAGCTTGCTAAACGAAAATCTTGATTCGTAGTATAGCCCCCTGGACTCTGAAGCTGACTCAAAGAACAAACACTTATTTAAACTGGATCTCAAACTGTTGGATTGTGTTCATCCCTACAGGATCAATGATGAGCCGTTCAGAGCCACGATCCCGAAGACCTGTGAGTACTGAAACCATATCCTCCATTCATCAAGATATGAAACTCTTTAATGGAGCTCAGGTTTTATTTGTTCACAGTTTATTCATCACGGGGCGAGTTTGAGACGTAAAGAGGAGCGTGGAGGCGTTTTGGAAAATAAAGAAGAAGGCTGCAGCTGATGAGACACTTCCTGTTAGCTCTCCTCAATATTAAATGAACAAAAACAATCAATTGTACTTAAAGCTTTTCTTAAGAATAAATATGTGTTGCACATACACCTGCTGCTACCTACCACCACCTCCCACCCATCCCGGCACCAAAGAGGAGACTCCATCGACCCCAGATACCCAAACTCACTCTTCTTCAGGTTAGCTTCGAGCCCCGCCTTTACCTGCCCCAACACCTCACTTTGAACGATGTAGTCATCCGGATATCTGCATACTGAGAGTGGGACGCAGGACCCGGTCAATGAGGCTGTATAGGTTGATCCATGGGTTGATAATGTGACTGTCGGTTTGAAAAAATTATTTATAATCCATAATTTCCATTTGTATGTAAAATTCGGAGCAAATAAGTTAGCTGCTAATGGTAGCCACCTTCCGGTGTGCAGCTTCCGGTTTTGGCCACGCGTCACTCTCACTCCTTATTTGTTAACATGTTGATGTGTGTAGAACTTCCCCTCGATTCCATTGGCTCTAGCGGTTATAAAGAGATTTCATTCATCAAAATCGACCAAGGGGGGCCAGAGATAGGTCAAATCCACCCAAATGACCCCAGAAGTGGGGTTTTTTGGCTAAATCTCTCTAAAAAGGTCAAATTTCAATTGTTTTGCATCAATCTTGATACAGGGTACTTATTATATGTTGTACTTTGGATTCCTAAAGCTTTTAGTCTACTAACCCATCATCCAAGGGTAGTTTTCACTATGAGTAAAAAAGAATTTTTGGACGGACACTATAATTTACAGTTTTTTACTATGTTCAATCTGAATTTTCTTTAAAATAAAAAACATCTATATTGATTCTGACTCTTCTACATCCAACTCACAGGTTTATCATTACTTTGAGAACAAAGATTATTAATTTAACCCTTTTAGAAGGGAAGATATGGTCATTTGTTCTGGGAATGTCATTTTCGAGCCTGAGACCTGAAAAACAGGCTCAGGTCTTAACAGGTTAATACAAGGCTTTTAAAAAAAGGTTTTTAGGCCCTTCTTAAAGGAGTCAGTGGTCTGTGAAGTCCTCAGTTTGTCTGGGAGGGAATTCCACAGGTGAACAGAAAGCCCCCCCCCCATGGTGCAGAGTTTGGTCCTGGGGGGGGAAGCAGATGGTTGGTTGTAGAATGGAGGTTGCGTGTGGAGGTTTGTGAGGAGAGTAGTTCCTTGAGGTATGAAGGAGCGTTCCTGCACCTATTAGTAGGAGAGGCTGCACTTTGGGAAATGAGGGAAGGAGTTTCTTGAGTTCATCCACAGGATAACTCTAGTCCACAAGTGAAAGTCTGTCAGAGGTGAATGTGTCTTTGAGGAGGAATGTTTTCTTGGGATTGAAAGAGGGTGATATCTCAAAAGTCACTGAGGCTCCATTTCAGAATAATATATATATATGATATGTTTTATAATGATTGATCATTAAAGTGTTATCAAGGCTGGTAAAGGTGCAGCTAGTTTGAATGACTTTGTATACTGCAGGGTAGCTTGTGAATTTACTCCAGGTGGAACTAAAGTCTGATTTAACACTTGGTTATATTTCACATCATTCATCCAGATCTGTAAAGTAACTAAAGGTATTAAGTACATGTAGTGGAGTAAAAGTACACCATTTACCTCTGAACTGTAGTGGAGGAAAAGTACACCATTTACCTCTGAACTGGAGGAAAAGTACACCATTTACCTCTGAACTGGAGGAAAAGTACACCATTTACCTCTGAACTGTAGTGGAGTAGAAGAAGTACACAGTTGCATACAAAGAAAACTAAGCTTCATCTCCAAGCCCAATGGCCTTCGAAGAGCTGCTAAGGAAAAGGAAAGACATCCTGAGACTTTGGAGAGACAGCTACTGTAACTGACAAACTCAAGGAACTGAAAGACACTCCCTAACAGGCCGTAAGCTGTTTAGCCTTACCTTGAATGATTCAGTGCAGTGTTCTGTGCAGGTTTTTGGTTTGCTTTTTCAACTCAAGGAGCTAAAAGACTGATTGAAAGTTGATTTGATTTGCATAATTTCTGATTGCTGATTCAATGTGAAGGAAAATTCACATTTGAGTTTATACAGTATATGTGTGCATATACTGTAGGCCTTATGTTGACTGCCAACCTAAGGACCTCCAACATGTTAATAGAGAATTTATTGAAAAGTTATTTGGCTGATTGTTGTATATTGGCTCAGCCAGGTTATATGGGATGCCCAGTCTACTTACAGATGGGTCACTCATTTTAAAATATTAAACTTTGTTTTATTTTTCTTTAATTTTTCATCCTCATGTAGAATGCTATCACGAAACACACATTTGGTTGTTTATAGCATAAAGAACATCTGATTTAATGTGAGGTAGGGAAATAATCATTTGAGGATAGGTATGTGTATATAAATATGTAATTTACAACAGCTGTAAGATGCTTGATAAGCTTGAAATGCACCTTGAAAAAGTGCTTGAAAAGTGCTTGAATTTGACTTTGGAAAAGGTGTAAGAACCCTGCTTACAATGTAACAGACAAATCTACTACTAATAAAATATAAACATAGCATGCTATAGACATAATACACGTGTTCAAAATGTACACTTACTGTAAATGCACTGAGGTCTGTACTACACTATGTGCAGGTTGTTCAGGGTTATTCCAAAAACTAAGAGTGGAGTCTGGTAAAAACGATGAAGGTTCAGAAACGATGAAGCTTGTTCCTGTGTTTGACTTGTGGGGATAGATCATAGATTAAATGTGAGACGTGATAATAAATCAGTGGTTCCTCGGTGTGTAACGGGTCAGAGGAGGAGGAGCTTCAGGTGGAGATGCTTCAGGGTTGATTTTGCAGAAGATCGATTCTCCATCCCGCTCCCTTTCCTCTGGGAGAACATGTATTGAGTTTTTTATTTACCTCGCTGCTCAGTCAGAGATCTGTCAACATTAACAAGAAAACTGCTAAGTTATTTTGACAAGTCGAGTGTGAGGAGTGAGCGGTGCTGCTGGAGGATTTCAACGTGACAAATCAAATGATCCAGACGTGTCTCTCAAACTGAGGCCAAAAGCTCACTACTTCATTTATAAATTACGCCGAACTAAATGTATTTACAGAAACCCATTAAGGTGTATTTCTTAACTTATACTGTAGCAACTGCCATGTCATATTTTGTGACGGATCAGTCTAAAATACATTACATTACATGTTACTTGTTAGACGCTTTTATCCAAAGCGATTTACATACTCAATAATGTGGGCAATCCCCACAGGAGCAATGTGGGGTGACGTGTCTTGCCCAGGGACACAACGATATGCTGACTGCAGTGGGGTTTGAACCTGTGCTCCCGTGATCCGAACACCAACGCACTAGCCCACTGCGCCACACGCCTCCCGAGGTACGTTTTTAAAATGTAGGCAAAAACTGCTTTTCTACTTTATGTATCTACTTATTTGATTTTTGTTTCAGGGGCAAGCACAGCAACACAATATTAGGGAGACACTTTTATTATAATGACGGTTGTTTCTGTAATGTTTCCAGGACTCAAGTTAAAGTCAAGTAAGTCGAGTTAACGATTTGATGACATACTGTAGGACTCGACTTAAATCAAAAAAGACTTGCAGCTTAACTCGGACTCCAATAATCAATGACTCAGGACTTCACTTCGAGTTCATTCATCTGATAGAAAAATACTAGATTGGAAATAAAAGAATGTTTTTTAAAAGGTTTACGAGAAATCCAATTATTTTCCCTTTTATTCCTTAAGGCTGTTCATCCCCAGCACTTTGTTTGATTCAACATTATCTACAAGTGGCAGGACAGAAAGGTTTAGAAATAATGTTATGTGATTGTATAAAGATACCACACATGATTTCATTTGCATAGAAAACTAAATTGTTTTCACACAAAAACAAATGAAAGAATGCAAAATGAGACATTTTAAATTGGTGTAAACTGCTAAATGACTTGAGCCTTGAGTGCAAAAAATGTAAGACATACTTGCCACTTGCATAAAAAGACTTTTTTCCACATCTGTATGTCAAATGACCGTGTTAGCTTTAAAAGCACTGCCATGCCCAAATATAGTGCTAGCATGGCTATAGACTTGTGGTCTTGTTTAGTCATTAATAGTAATTCGTTTTCTTTATTTTGAGTACTGTGATGTGTTTTAAAAAATCATGAAATGCATTTACTTACTCCCTATCACTTTGAGATACAGTCTTGACATATAAAACGACCTGTAAATAATAAAAGGAGACATGAAAACACACACAAAGTGAGATTTAAATGTACTTTAATAGATGATCACCAGGCTGTTTCCCTTTTACAATGAATCTGAAGTAGTTCTACTTTTACAAGTTAGATTTAAAGACAGAGAGATATTGAATATTGCGCTGAGGAAGAGAAACGTAACTAAGATTAATACAATGCAAAAAGAAAAGAGAGAATCAAACAGAACTACCAATACAGCGTTTCTTAACAACATGTTAACAGGGCAAACAATAAAAGCACAGCCCAGTATTATATTATTATATCACTGTATTTCAGGACCAGTTAAGACAATACGCTTTTTTTGTTCTTTTTTCAAATATACCTCTTTAAAATAGCATTGTATTTTGTATTATTATTTCCATGTTAAACAACTACATTCAGGATTATAACTAAATAAATCACATGCAGAGATTAAATGGATGGATGACACCATGTTGAGATCAAATGAAATCTTCATTTCGATGCAGCGATGGCGATGAGATTGAACTGATAGATTTGTATTTCGTTCTGTATCTTGTCAGCGTTTTATCTTGAAGTAGTTTTGAGAGTATTGTCATTAAAACCGGCTAACAGGACAGTGTGTTATATATCTTTCAGGTTTGTTCTCTCCAGAGCGATATGTACAATCTGTGCACAGTACATACATGTACATGTGGCGTTTGTTTCATTTCATCCATGTTTTGTTTTTTGAGTCTGCATGTGTTTCAAGTCATTTTCAGGAAAAAGTTAACGTTGCATTTAGTACTATTTCTGTGTTAGTGTTAATGTGTTTGTTACGGGACCTCCCTTGCTTTCTGTCCCATCAGGAATGACGCAGAACAGTCGTAATGACAGCGTCGTCAAAACATCAAACCGTTTCTGCTCTCATCCTCCGCTCCACACAATGTATTCTCTGTCAAGGCTGGTGTGTTTTGTTTTCATTTTTATTTATTTTCTCTATTGTTTTGATCCAGCAGCAATCGCATGGTAGTACCAACTCAACATTCAGAAAAATAGATCTCCTCTATAGTGCATTCAGCTTCTGCATGTGGTCACACAGTTCAGTATCGAGCGATTCACAGCGTTCTACTGGTGCCTTGAAAACCTCAAGGCTGGGTATTTGGAATCTGCCAACTTAAAGACAATATTTGAAAGACACTACATATCCGACCCTCCACAAAATCTGATTTCCAGACAACGACTTTTTAAATGAGTCAATGTAAACCTTTCCTCTCCTCTAAGTGTGCCCTCCAGTGTACTTGTGCGTTCTCCAGCTGTTTAATATACAACCTGCATCAAACTCTCCCCAGTGGGATGAAATAAGAAGTCTGCCTCGGATTCATCACAAGCATGAGATGCATATCGAGGCTCAGAAAGTGCATAATGGACAGTATAATGTTAGGGGAGGCCAGGCAGAGCAGAGAGCACGGAGGCTTGGGAAGATGAGGTATAAACACGTGTGAGCGTTACACAGGGAAAGAAAATGGCACAAACTCTGACAACACGCTCTAGCTGTTTTTGAAATAGATTGAGAGAAATAATTAAGTTTAGTTAAACTATACAAGCAGAGGATCCTTTCTGCTTTTAGTTGGCAACATCTGGATCGATCAATAGCTCAAACAAAGTGCTTTCTGTAAATCCAAGCCTCCTTTCCTCCATCGCCCACACTGGCCTCATATCAGTCCTTAACACACACAAAAAAACAAGCCTGTGATGAGCCATGTCGGCAGAAATGTATTTCTTAGAAATCAAATATAATAAATATTAGTAAAAGAATACAAATCAAAACAAAATTATTTTAAAAAAGTAAATTATTTTGTTAAATCTTTTGATATAAATAAAGAAATACAACTTGGCCTCATTTAAAATCAATGTGAGCGACTCTCTGTGAAGAAGCAGAAAGGCCTTTCATGCTGAACCAGTTAAGAGGACTCACCGTCAGAAAACAGTGTGTATCGAGTGTGTCATATATCACACACACACGTACACAACTATTGCAAAGACATTCACTTTGAATCAGCATCCAGCACATAATCATTCATGCTCATTCTGTAATAAATATTTCTCTGGGAATAATATTGGGAATAATTGCTTCTTTATATATAAGATCGACTGTTTTTACATTATTCTATAATACAGGTAAAAGTAGTTTTCTATCACCACACTCACTCTCTGTGCTCAAACTACTTCACCCCAACCCTAAACTCTCAGAAAATGACATACCTATCATGTGCAAGACTTCGCTCAAAGACATTCATATTTGTTTAAAAGTGGCTTTAATGCTGAATTTGATTAAAGAGCTCTTTAGTTATTGAGTGTATTATTTGTGTGGATACGATTTGTGCGTACTGGTATAAACTGACTGGTCCTTTATTTCAAAGTTGTGTTCTTGGTTTCTTTGTTTTACCCTGGTTTCTCGCTCCGCCTCACAATGGCTGACTTGTCCTTCAACTACCCCTTCCTCTTTAAAACCTCAAGCTAAAGGCACATGAAAAACGCCTCCTGTAACACCCACTTATTGTCCTGAAATACAACCGCAGTGATAAATATATATATTGCCGTTCCCACTTCTAACTCTCCCTTCGGTTGCTACATTAGTCACATTATTTTCCTTTCTCGTCATTTTGTGATACTGACAGAGACATGTCGCTGAACAGGAGGAAAGTACAGATCATTCTACATGAACCTTCTTCTCAAATGCATAATCAGAAACACTGCATTCGCTTCATCATTTCCTGCATTATATCTAATTATTTAACATAACCTCTGTATTGATATAGACACATGTTTGTACTGGAGGTCATACAACACACACAGAGCATGATGAAGACTTAAAGAGTAGCCATTGTAGTGTGCAAACATCGTCCTTCTGCCTATTGAATCACAGCCAAACAGTAACCTATCTACTCTAAACTGCATCCATCACTTGGCTAAAGAACGGGTTAACCCTACGCAGTTCTGAACGATTTTCAGCTAAAACGCAAGCACCATGCAGCAGCTTAAGAGAGAAAGCCGAGAAGTAAAATCTCAAACAGTGGCAACCTCAGGCACCTCCTAAAACGTCACCACGAATTACAAGAAGTGTTGTTTTTTTGTCTTTTACATTACATCGATTCATGTCGTATGTATTGAGTAAATCCAGCAGCTACTGATCAGAATTGCAAATCCTGTGCATTGAAAATAAAACTGTGAATACAATCCAAACACATTTTTGATCACTGATTCATTTAGGTAAAACATTTTTTTAACATTTTTTTAATGTTAGATGATTAGATTTCTGAGTTAATTTGGAATTAAGCCAACAGTTTAAGAACTACACTTCTGTCGTGTAACTGTGGCTGAATACATGTATCAATGCATCTGTTATACGAGTCAAATAAAGCGTCATTATGTTATTACGAATATTTTTTCACCTAGTGCTAGTGTAGGAGTGTTTTAGGGCTTACGGTTAAGTAACAGATGAAAAACCCTAACTGACACATGAAAGCATAAACCCACAATTTTGACTTTGATTTCAGCGAACAGAATCTAGTGTATTGAGCGCTGCGGCAAATGCATTGAGAGCTTTGAAGCAGCGCTGGTCGCTTTGCTTTGAGTGAGAACAGATGAGAGGGAGGGGAGAGATGGGAGGGGGGGGTCACAGCGGGGGGAGTGAAGCTCGTGAAGCTCAGAACTCGATCTTGCAGGCAGAGAAGGACTCGTCCTGCATGACGACGGTGCTGCTGGAGGCCAGGACCATGATGTTCAGGTCCTGCTGCTTCTCGTGGGTCTGTTGGTACCATTCCCGGGTCACCTCCGAGTCGTGGGTCGGGATCAGAGTCACCTGACGGGGTCACAATACATTTCATTTAGCCGATGGTTTTATCCAAAACGAGTTACAATAAGGGCATTTTATTTCTTTATTTTAAGCTATTTTAATTTCTTGTCAGCTTTAATTCAAGGGCATTTCATTAGGATCACTTTGGATGTTTCATCTTGTTCTGTATTTATTTTAATATTGTTGTTATGTTTTCTGTAAAGCACTTTGGGCTAAACATCAGGTGCTAAAGTGTATTATTATTATTCAACCATGGAGAAACAAACTGGGAAAGGGTTATTTCCTATCTATAAGCCCGACCAGATTAAGTGCTACTGCATTAGCTTCACTTAAAACCAAATCCTTTGTAAGTGCTACGAACAAAAGAGATGTTTTTTTGTGTTTTTTGTTGAGATGCAGTCAAAACAGGTGAGTTTTCAGTCTGCGATACAGAATTAGAGGGAAGTGAGGGGACATTTTAAATGTTATACAGCAAAAAGTCCAACACTGTTCTTATATAACATTTGTATTTCACTATCTGCAGATGGACCTGCAGGATCAGTCAAGTCAGTAATGTGAGCGAGAGAGCCAGGAACAGAGGATATTTTAGGTTCTTATACAGATTGATGCTGCATGCAGATATTTGCAAGGTCAGGAACATATAGAACATTAATCATTCTCTCTAAGCTAGCACAGAACAGAACCATACAGCACAATACTGCTGAGCGAGGAAGGGATACTATCATCATTGTTTCCAGGATAGCAGTTTGTTAATTGCAAATGCATCACAACGATATAAGTAGATATCACAAACTAAGACTTTTTAGTTGTTCAAACATACAGTATGATCAAAGCATAGTAAAGGTTTGTTCAAGTGTGTTGCTGATGTAACCAGTTAGAACTGGTCGCCGGCATTTAACAAAATAAAGGCAGGGTTTTAAAGAAGCCCTTTTATGCTTTTTGGGGTTTTGCACCCACTAAGGCCCTACAGTACGTAGCTGTGTACGTGACAGGATGTATGATTACCTAGAAGAGCGTCAGGACTGTTTTAGGCATATGATAGCTATGTGATTAACATGATGACTGAGCCTCTATGGAGATAGACATAGGCTATGACTGTCATGTGTATTGCTGACGTGGGCCTTAGCTAATCTGAACTAAACATTGAATCCTGCTTTGAACCGGTATTCCTCCATCTCTTGAATATCAGCATGTGAAGGACACTGTTCAGGAACTAGTTGGACCAAATGCTCTGTATGTGATGAATACTTTCATTCTTGCAAGGATCATAAATACATGTATCCTGATTATTGAAGCTCAAGCCGGCGACGAGTGATATTTTTCTAACAGAGGCACAGATAGACTGATGGAGGTTGTACCTGTAAATTGGAGCCCCACTGAGCCTTGCCCTCCAGCAGGGCGTCCAGGACTCCTCGGCTCGGCTCTCCGCTGCCCGGGTCGTTCCCGCTCACCACGTAGTACGACGCTCGCACCCTCTTGAAGAACTCCTGGTCCACGTTCTTGGCACTGCAGTGGTTGGGCACATAGGCCAGGTCCACATAGATGGGGGGTCCAGGGGGAACAACAGAGCCAACTTTCTGGGGGTTGGTGCCTGAAGGTGAAAACATATTTAAAACAGCATGAGGAGGCAATTATCGTAGTTGCACAGCAGAAGCAAAGATCAACTTTGTCCTCAACTGAAGAAATTATATTCTGTTCAATCATTTATTCATAGAAATCAGTGCTTCGACGGAGAATAATACATGTGCTGCACATCCATCATTTGAATGTGCACCTACCTCATTTGAAGATACACTTGATGTGCTGTTTAATGAGAAATATATAATTGTTCCTTGTAACTTCACATTATTAAGTGCAGAATTATTATAGTTGCAAATAGAAAGTCAAAATTCAAATTAAGTTGTTAGCATGATCGCATCAATGCCCCAAAATAACCATGTTAGCTATAACAAAGAAACTTAGATTTAGAAATACGATTAACAGTCGTATTTATTTGCACAACATCTTATGGACCTTGGATATAAACGAACAACAAATGATGTACAATTCTCCCAAAATGTTTTTTAATGCAAGTACAGGACTTTATATGTGAGTGTAGTCAGGTGTATTTCCAATGAAAGCTTACAGTATTCATATCATTGGAGAGGACACTTTGTTGTTGTTTAGGTTGCATTATAATTGCTTTCTAATTGAGCATGTAAATGTGACTACAGGTTGAAATTCAATTGGATATCTGGGTCTAAACATCTGCTTCTTGCTTCATTTAAAGTGGACCTATCATGCTATATTTGAATAATATAGTGTAGGACCATACGTATATAAGGCATATTTATACTTTTTTTTTTTCATAATACCAAACAGATCATGCATTTTAGCCATGCCTCATTTTGCTCAATTTGACATTTTTTAGCTCTGTTTTTGCAAGGGCTGATTCTGTGAGAACAGCACCACCCACAGGCCTGGCATATGTACTACAACGTCTCCAGCGCTTTCGAACGGCAATGGCCGTGGCTGTCTCCTCCTGATTGGTGGAGTTGGCCCAATAGCCGTAGCGCCACTGTCCTGACGTCAGGACAGTGTTCAAATCTGGATCAGTTTTTATCAGATCCGTTGCAGCCCCTTTTTTAGAGATTTGGGTATGGAGGAAAATAGAGAGGGTTGTGTTTTCTGACACTTGGTGAGTTCCCTGGAACACCGGGGACACATATTCATGTATAAAAGACGTACAAAAGTGCATTTTGCATGATAGGTCCCCTTTAAAATGTCGAAAAGAGTAAATATCAAGTTTTTTTAATTTCTGATTTCAATCTTGGTGAATAAAATGGTCCTTTCTTTTGTCTGTTGTGCCTTTGTCTGGTTTGAATGTGCCCAGGAATCAAGTTACATGTACAATCCTATCATGTTGTTGGACGTGAAGATGTTAACAAACCTGAACTGCTCTTGACGCCGTTGACCAAGCCTTTCCCCGGGCTGACGATCTCAGTCCTGGAGCCTTGAGTCTCGGACATCTTGATCAGCCTGGAGCTTCTGTCCGTGTCCTTCCTCTTCAGGGACGCTGACCGAGGCGAGGAGGAGTCCTTGGAGGTCTGCTTCGATGGAGTAGAGGACCTCTTCCTGACTTCGCCCTTACGGGAAGGGGAGGCCGATTTGGGTTTGCTCTTCCTGAGGCCCTTGGTGGTTTTGTGCTCCTTCTTAAGAAGTTTCTCTGTGCTGCTGTTATCATGGAGAAGAGCTTCTGGATCCACCATGCACACATCTGGGTGCGGAGGGTGGGGATAAGGGTCCTTCATCGCGGTTGGAGCCGGATCATGAGTCTTCTGCGATGACCTGGGTGATGAAGGATGGTGTCCACCGCCAGCTGCAGATAACTTGTCCACGGGAAGATGTTCAGCGTCCTCGTCCGAGTCCAGATTCCCTTCAGCTGTTATGGACGGACACTCTTCGGTTCCTGGAGGGACGTCAGAATCCGACTGCGAAGGCAACGACTCGCTCACTGATGTCGGAGGAGTTTCCTCTCCAGCTAGAGTCACGGCCAAACCAGAAGACATGGGTCCGGGCAGCTGGTGAGGCGCCTGTCCAGAGTCCCCATGAGCACTCGGGGTGTGGTGGGGCTTCTGCTTGTGCGACCTCCTTTTTACAGAGTGTTGCTCCTGATCGTCCTCGTCCCCTTCCTCAGAGTGCTCACTGCGTCCTTCCTCCTCGCCCTCGCCCTCGTCACTGGACAGCGGGTGAGGGCTGGGGTTCATGAACGATGGAGAAAGGTCTCCTTTGCGGTGTTTGTATTCGCAGGACGAGTAGCCTGGATGGGAGGAAGAGGAGGTGGCTCCGGTGTTCAAGTCAGACGGACGATCCGCCCTTGCTGCTCCTTTGCTGGATGTTTCTGTGTGATAGGCATCTTTTGAGGAGGACACAGAGGTACCGTGGGCACTGGTCATCCATTCCATTGCTTCCTCATCCTCTTCGTCCTCATCGTCATCCCCATAACCCGGAGGAGGGGCACTTGGGCAGTCTTCAGGCCTTTGTAGTAGCTCCCAATCAGATATACTGCTCCTTCTCCTTTCCACTAAGCTCTCTGGTGTCAAGCTTTTCTTCTCGTCTCCCTTACAATCTCCTGCTTGTTCACACATCTTTGTATCAGCTGTTGCCTTCTTCTCCTCTGCGCTGTCTTTACACATGATGCTTTCACTGTCTTTAGCCGTCTCTGCCTTTTCATCACTTCCTGACACCTTGGCGTCTTCCTTCAAAGCTGCATTTGTCTTTTCCTCTTTCACCTCCATTGTTGTGGCACATGTGGTTGTGCTGGCTCCACTATCACTCAGTGAAGGAAGCGAGGCGGTCTGTTGCCACGTTTCAGGTTTAGACACATAAGCAGAGGTGATGGCGACTGCCTTGGTCTCTGTGGACTGAGTGGTACTTTCAACCACATATGAGTCAGTTATCGATGGAAAACTCTGCTCCTGCTGTGCTACTTTGACAGTTTGACATATACGACATGGTAGGGTGCTGTCCTCCATTTCAAGTGTCACAGGCTCCTCTTCTTCTGATGATTCTTGGTATACCTTGTCAGATGAGTCAGCCCTTTGGAGGGGAGAGACATCAAAGCAAGCCTCTGATGAGGACAAACCCTCGGACACCTTGACTTGACTTTGTAAAGAAGGTGCCGCGGACGATGTAGTCATCCTAGTTTCTAGCATGTAGAAACTATCAGTGCTTGACTTTGTGTCCGTTTCAGGCTTTGCAGAACCACGTTGATCCATAGTCTGTTTGGCAGTGGTGGAGAAGACCGATGATGATGCTTTGGTATCATCAAACTGGCTGGGTAAAGACACTTTAGTTGTAGGTTTAGTCGTCACCTCCATGTACTCATCTCTCTGAAAGCCTCCAAAGCAAGAGCTGGAAGACTCAGCCCTGAACGATGGTTCCTCTTTGGCTAGAGGTACAGTAGAGCCTGATAACGTTTTAGCTTTGTCTCCAGACTCTTGGCTCAAAGGGCCGGACATTGAGGCTGAGGATGAGTAACTGTACGATGTGGAGGAGAATGTTGAAGTAGAGTATGTTAGGGTGGTGTATGTGCAAGGTGATGAGGCAGTTTCCTTGTGTTTTGCGCTGATCTCTAAGCTCTGCCTCTCGTCTTCTTGGCTGTAATGTTTGTCATCGCTAAGCTTGGATAGCTGGGAGGCCTCTGAGGTTTCTTTCTTATCTTCTTTCAATCCCACCTGACTTCCTTCACTGTGAAACTCAGAATAACCTCCAGATCTATTCTGTCCGATGTCGGCATAGCTTCCTCTTAGAGGGAGTGAGGGACTAGATGAAGGTAAAGACTCTGAATGGTCAGGTGGCAAAAAGCTGGACAAGGTGCTTGCGGGCATTGGTTCAGTGTCCTTGTTCAAAAAGCTTGGCGATAGAGACTCTTTGTCGTCATCTCCCTTTGTTGTCTGCAGGGCTTCATAGGAGGTATCCTGAGCCGATGATAACCTCCTGCTTGAGGTTGGTTCAGGAGACAAATGCTCTTTCTTAGTCTCAGGAAGTTTGGGAAGATCTGATGAAGTGAAATGGATGTCGTCCATTTTGTAAGGGTCTGGTGATGAAGTCATGTGACCAACATCTTCACTCTTTGTCTCGGGGACTTTTGATGTGGCGGCGTCATCTTCTTTGAGTGGTTTTGTTTCAGGCGATTGTGGTTTTCTGCATACCTCCTGCTGGTCTGAAGATGAGGCTTCACCAGTTGTTGGTTGAGAGACTTTTTCCTCTTTAAGGACACTTGATTCAGACAACTTTTTATTTGAGTCCTCCACCTCTGCTAACACAGCACTGTCACCAGAGGTACGTCTGCACATTTCCTTTTCGGACTGTTCCCTTGCGCCCTTCTCCATATCTACATCACTTAAGTCCTCGTCTTCATCCTCCTCCTCATCATCATCTTCGTCTTCATCATCATCCACATTGAAATCTTCCCCTTCTACAAGTAATCTTTTATCTATAAAGCTCTCTTTTCCATCAGGAAAGTCTAAAGTTGGTTTACAGGAGGCAGAGCTGCTCATGTGACTGTTGTCCGATGCCAAAACATTATCATCTATTTCCTGTCCTGAGAACGTGGCGGCAGATACAGGCCTTGAAGTGTCTTCTCTCTGTAAAGGTTTTGCTTGTTGAGGTAAAATGTCTTTTTCTGCAGGTGAATGCCGACCAGATGGAGATTTTTCTTTGAGCGACTCAGCAGATTTTTCTTTTTCTTTTTCCGTTGTTTTCTTTTCTGTAAATGCCTCAAAAGCTCCAGGAGTTGCTGAAACTTGAGTACCGAGATCTGACTGGCTCCATGATGGAGAGGGTGTCTCCTGTCTTAGTGGCACACTTGCTGATTGAGCAGATGTACTGCTACAAACAAGATCACTTTCTTGTGTCCCCCCTGATGGAAAAGCTGCAGCTGAAGCCCCTTCCTTCTCTTTTTCAGATTTCTCCGGTTTGTCCTCTTTAGGAGTGAAAGAATAAGACTCAGCAGCCTGGGACATTTTGTTATCCTGCATGTCTACGGATGAAAAGCTCCTGTCAACATAAGGTGTATCTGGTCTCTCTTCTTTCTGACTTTCTTCCTCCTGGCCTTTCTCTCTGTCTTCATATCTAGGTGAGGCACTTGGACTGTGGTGGCTGCTTCTTTCACTTTCTGTCAGAGACACCGGGCTGTAATCGACTCTACTGAAGGACAGAGGCTCTTCTTTGAACTGATCGTCCAGGAGGAACATGGCTCCTCCAGCCTCTGTCTGGCTTGTTCTTCTGTTATCATCAATATCAGAGGGGTGTTCGAAACCTAAAGAAACCTCACTTTCTTCCCTAGAGTCCAAGTCATGATCCTTTGGAATGGGCTTTTCATACGGATCATATTTGGACGCACCAAAGGTTGGCTTTTCTTCTCCGAGGCTACCACTGACAGTCTCTGAGGTCAGTTTTGCAGCGTCAGAGGGGCTCTTGTCTTCAGAGTCCAACGTGAAATAGGAACAAGGCGGGGGTAATCCTGGAGAAGCCACCTCTCGCTCTCCTTCCATCTCCCTCTCTGCTTCCTTCCCTGCTTTCTCCTCTAGTCCTGTCTTCTCTGCGGCGCTGCCTTCTGAACTAAACAGGGATGGGTGACTGTCGGTGCTCGATACCGTCGACAACGCAGGCTTTTTCTCCTCTGACATTGGTTGTGCTTTAGACGCGGGGACATCAGAAGCTGTTTCTTGTTTGGGAACAGTGGCTGTGTCCTCCTTTGATGTCACAGCATCAAAGGAGGGCTCTGGCTTTGCAAATGGTGCAACCGTGGTTTCTGTTTTCACAACACCTTTCCCAGCTGCAGGGGAAAAACTGTATTCTTCTTTTTCAAACTCATCAAGAGAGGGCTCCTGCATTGTGAGAGTTGGTATGATCACTGTGACGGATATCGGTGGTTTAGTTGGGTCACTCGTCTGTGGTTTTTGGGGCGAGGGGAGAACTACCGAGGGGATGTCATGTTCTGATTTCTTCAGATCTACCGACAGAGGTCTGGAACCAGCTCCCCCCATACAAATGTCCTCGTCCTCTACATCTTCCCTGTCTTCATCGGAGGACTGAACCACAAATGCAGGTTTGCAATCTGACTTGGATGCTTCACCTAATGTTGTCTCTGCAGGTTGTTTCATGGTTTTCTCCAGGTCTTTCTCTTGTACCTGCTCTTTCTCCCACTTCTCCTCCTTAGTGTGGTCGGCATCAGAGTCTTTCTCAGTGATCTCATCCGTCTTCCTGTCACGGATGTCATCAGTCTCATATGTGTATTCCTTTTCCTGTTCTTTTTCCATTTTCTGTTCTTTGCTCAGTTCAGCAACATGTGTGTCGTCCTTTCCTTTCTCTGTCTTCTCTTCTTGGCTGATAACAACCTTTTCCTCTGGGTCTCTCTCTCCCTGACTCTGGCTTGGAGACAGGTCTGTACTCCATGTACTTATAGAAGTGTCTTGCTGCATTGACGTAGCTCCGAAAGTTTCCTTCTCTTTCGGAGTTTCACCAGACTTCTCAGAGATGTCTTGATGTCGTGGCTTATCACTTACGTCACTAATATCATCCTTTTGGGGTTTGTCCCCTTCCAAGATCCAAGACACGGGAAGGTCTACCTCTTTTTTCTCATCCTTGGCACTAAATAATGGAGACTTCTCGGTCTCCAGTTTGATTACCACGTCCTTAGGTTGTGCAACACTGGAGTCTGTTGCTTTCTGTTTGTCATCTTGTTCAGTGTCCTTATCCTTTACGTCTTCACTTTTGGCTGAAGTACCAATGTTCTGCTCCTTAGATAAAAGCTCAGAACTCTTTTCTTTCATGTCTTGTTCGCCTATGTCATCCTTTGGTACATCTTTTACCTCAGCCTTGATGACTTTAACATCTTTTACCTCAGCCTTGCCCTCATCCGCAGGGCTTCTCAAACCATCTTTGCTTTCTTCATCCTTCGTACCAGAAATGTCATCCTTAATTGTTACTGTAGTTTCCTCCTTGTCCTCTTCCATACTGGATCTGACAGCACAGATATCTTTACTGATTTCTTTCTCCTTATCATCTCGTGTGGTGGGTTTAGCAACACATTCCTCCGTTGATGTTTTGACAGTGGGAATGTCTTTGCTCATCATGACATCCATCTTGGAAGTGTTGTCTCTGTTTGTTTCTTGGTCCTTTGTGTCCTCCATGCCTGGTTTGACGCCATCCTTAAGAGTCTCGTTTGAGGAACTATCTTCCCTACTGGTCAGTTTCTCTCCAGCTTCTGTCACGGTAAGTTTAGTAGCAGCAGTATCATCTTTACTCCCGTCTCCCTTCTTCTCTTCTTCTACAGTAGGTTTGAAGGTGCTAGCATCATCCTTGCTTGTTGTCATATCTTCTTCGTGCCTTTCTGTTTCAGAGATATCATCTTTACCCGTCTCTCTCTCTCGTTCTGCAGTTGGCTTGGGAGCAGAAATGTCCTCTTTCCTCAGAGTTGCATCCCTTCCCTGCACTGTGGTGGGGCTGGTGGGCGAGATAGCATCTTTACAAATGTCTTGCTCATTTTCTTCTTTCATGATAACAGCAGACGTATCAGTCTTACTAATCAGTTCTTCTTCTTTGGTGAGTTTAGCCCCAGTAATGTCACCCATCCCTTTCTCTTTCTCTTTCTCCTCCCCAGTAAAAGGCTTAGAAGCAGATATTTCTATCTTTCCCATCTCTTTCTTATCCTCAATCACTTTTATATCAGATGTTTCCGCCTCCTTTTCCTCATCTTTAGTTTGCTCAACGATGGGCATGGCGTCCTTCTTAAACTCTTTTTCCATCTCGTCTTTAAGAGGCTTGATATCTGTGGTTTCGACCATTTGAGTCTCGTTTGCTTCGGCCTTTACAGTCCTAATGTCACAAATATCACCCTCTTTCTTCTCCTCCTCTTTCAGAATCTCACTCTTAGACACAGCGTCCCTTTTAACCTCAGTCTCCATAGCACCGGCTTTCGTCTTGAGGTCAAATTCATCATCTTTCTGCTCACCTTTGATTCGTGTGACCTGAGACGCAGCAGTTTCCATCTCTGCTTCTTCAGTAGTGTTGATGTCAGGTTGATCTTTTCCAGGCTCTTTCTGTTGATCTGTAAGAGCTCCATCCACTGCGGAGACGTCCTTTGCAATTTTCTCTTCCTTCATGGGTTTAATATCCGAGGTGATCCCCTTTACTGCCTCTTTCTCATCTGTGAAGAACATGACGGCAGAAACACCTTCCTGGGTGACAGATTTCCGTCTTTGCTCATCCTTCAATTGTATGATATCAGAAGTGTCGTCCATTTCCTTTTCCTGTTCCACCTTAACTGCAGACTTATCATCGTGATGGTCGTCATCATCATCATCATCATCATCGAGGAAAGTGCTCTCCCTCTCTGGAAAGGTACTTGGCACTTTAGGCACTTTCTCTCTGAGCGTAGAGTCAACCTCTTCATCAATGTGTCCAGAGGAGACGAGGGAATCTCTTCCTGACATGGGGGACTGAACATCTGTTGAAGACGCAGCAGCAGGGATTGTTTCTGTGTCTTTGCCTTCATCTTGTTGCACTGATGAAGAGTCCTTTTCTGACTCCTTCATCACTGGAACCTCTTCTATGTGTTTCTCCAAAGATGTGGGAACTTCCCCTTCAAGTAGATCTGCTTTCTGTGTGTCTGTTTGTGTCTCATCCTTCTTTGTAGTTTCAGTTGTCGTGACGACATGGAGGACCTCCGCTTGCTTCTGCTGCTCCAAATCAGGGCTCGCCTTCGTCTTGTCTCCCACTGGGGACTGACGAAGAGGAGAGTGAGCTGCACTCGGTGGTCCAGAATGAGGAGGAGATGCCATTTTCACAGTGATATCATCTGGACTGAAGCAGCGCTCTTCGCTCTCTGAAGTCACTGAGTCTGACCCAAAAGGTCTCGTAGGCACAACAGATGAACGATCTCTAGGGGCAACGGCATCCATGTTCTCTTCTTCAATTGGAAGGTGGATTGGTTTGGTTTCCTTGATAGACACTGAGCCAGCAAGCTGTGTGATATCAGTCTCTTTACCTTGTAGAAATTGGGATGAAGCATATCCCTCTTGGAGTTTCTCAAGTGAAATGTCAACATTAGGAGTTTGGTCTTCATCATCCTCCTCTTCCTCTTCCTCTTCAGAGTGAGCTTCAGGAGCTTTAGTGGATGTTTTGACTTCTGCAACCGGAAGATGCAAGTCATCAGATGGAGACTTGATTTGTTTGTCTTCCTCTAGAGAAGGTGGTGAAATAGTTCCTGCAGAGAGTGGCTGCTCTTTGCCTTGGCTGGCGTCAGGTGGGGAGGAGAGGGGGCTTTTAGGCGGGTCCTCGGCTCGAGGGGCCGCGACAGAACCCCCAGAATGATCCTCTGCGATAGAAGTCGGAAAGGAGCACACTTTGTCGTACTCGGTGATGGACGTGGCAGAAGACACATGCTCCTCTTCGGCCAGAGGAGCCGTGATGATGCTGGTGAACACCGACACCTGCTCCTGCACGCCGGGGAGGAACATCTTCTCAGTCACAGCGGCAGCTTGAATCTCCCGCATGCCGTGAATGTTCACAAAGGATTCAGTTTGATCCGGAACAGAGATGTCGTAGGCACCGACGTCGTATTGAAGGTGTGGTATCCTCTCCTCTGCCTCCTCGTGAATCTCCTCGTCAGAGATGGTCTGTTCTGTCTCAGAGTAGCCGGGGATGGTCTCGTCCTGGATGTAGGAGACGGGCTCAGCTGCAGTGGCTCCGTGAAATACGGAGGTTATGGGAGCTGTGGCCCCTCCAACATGCGACAGGTAGCCCTCCTCCTCTTCCTCTTCCTCTTCTTCAGTTGCATCTTCAGGTTTGATCTCTTCGTCTGCTATAACATCTAAATCCTCGACCTCCTCCAGTTCGGCTTTCTCCAGCACCTCTTCGTCTTCCTCTTCCTCTTCGAAGGGGATATATTTAGTCGCTGCCAGATTTCCTGTTTTCTCCATTTCTTCTAACTCGTGTTTCCTGTCAAGCCCTTCGTCCTTTGCCTCCTTCCATTTTGCTTCGTCTTCCTCTTCACCGATTCCCATATCTTCTTCTTCCTCCTCGCCAGTTGTCTTTTTAGCAGCTGGGGACTCGTCGTCTTCTTCTTCCTCTCCTTCTTCTTCTTCATCCTGAGAGGCTGCTCCTTCGTCCTCAAACTTTTGAGCGTCTTCCATTTCTCTCAGCTCTTTCTCTTTGTCTTCTGCTTTAGCTTCTGGGGCTGAGTCGTCCTTTTCTGGAGACGTAGGCTCGGCAGATTCAGTTGCAACAGATCTTTTCAGATCATCAAAGTCCTTGGTGAGGTCTTCAGGGCTCGAGGTGACGGACGTGAGCTCAGCAGCTCCGTTCTCTGCTGGTTCAGGCTGAATGGGTTCAGGCTCTTCTGCAGGTAACGCCTTTGCTGCCTTGCCTTTTCCACTCTTGGCTTTACTTGTTGTCTTAGCTTTGTGTAATGTCTTCCTGACCTCCGGTGTAAACGTTTTCAGCTCAGGTTTAGTCATTTTCCTCAGCTCTGGTTTGGACGAGTCCTTCTTCTTCTTGTCGTCTTTGGACTTAACATCTTTCGAGTCATCCCTCTTTACTTTCTTGATCTCTTTCTTTTCCTTGTCCTTTTTCTCATCCATCTTTGACACCCTTTCCTTCGGGTGCTTTTTGATCGATTTCTCTTTCAGGAGCTTTTTCTTCTCCGGGACATCACTTTTGGATTTGATCATTTTAGTAGGCTTTTTCTCTTCTTCTACGTTTTCCTTGACAGAGTCACTCTTTGCCTCGGTGGCGGCTGAGACATCGTCTTGTCCTTCGGTTTCTTTCTTTGAGGCTTTCACAGTAGTCTTCGGGGACGACTTGAGACTCTCTTTGCTGTCTGTTCTTTGTTTTAATTTGGTTTGTTTGATAACAGAGGGAGGAGCTCCGGAGGCAATGTCCTTTTGTGTGGCGACAGGATAGCGCAAGAAGTCAAGGTGCTTCAATTTTTCCAGGCCTTCCAGGATCTTGTTCTGCGGTGCATTCCCAGGGAACAACACTCTGATGATCTTTTCTGCAGGGTTGGCAGGCAGCCAGACAACCAAGGCTGTAACTGATGTCAGGTAGGGCACAGATATTTCTCCTTCTTTCCCGTTGGGCAGAATAATACCAGTTTTAGCCTTGCTGTTTCCAGCCCACTTCTGCATTAAAAACTGCATCTCTTTACTATCTTTGACAGGGTTGAGAACATACATGTCCAACTTGCCCACTCCCATCTTGTGGAACAGAGTAATGGGCTCTATGGTGTTGCCGGACACTCGGAAGAGAGGCTCCGGTTTGATTCCTAGTTTACTCAGGTACTGCAAAGTCAGGGAGGCTTCTTCGATGCTGCGCTTCACTTTAAGATTAGATTCTGGCATACGGAGCTTCTCGGGCACGTTGAAGAAAACCACACCTAGCTCAGGAGAGATCAGGTTCTTCATCCAGTCGTTGTAGTTGACGGAGCCTTGAGAATGCTCCTCCTCTTGTTCGGCTATCTTCCTCTGGAGCAGCCCATTGATACCTGGGAGATTGTCTGCGCCGATGTGTGTGAGCAGAACCGAGTCAATGCGGTCCAAGTGACGGACCAGCTTCCAGAAGCATGACTTTCGTTCAGAGCCTCCATCCACTAAGATGTTGAAGCCATTCACGGCAAAGAGAGCCGAGTCTCCTCGCCCGCCGGGAAAGATGTAGCAACACGGTTTGGAGAGTTTCAGGAAGCCTCCGGACGTGGGAGGCTCCAGGAGCTCGAAAGGTGAGGGGACATCCACCGTCTCAGAGACATACTCTGTGAACTCGGTGACGCCCTCCATCTTGGGAAGAACAGACTCAGGGTTTAGTTTGTATTCCAGAAAGTCCCTCAGGGTCTGCTGTTGTCCCAGGGAGCTCCAGCCCACCTCCCCGCGGCAGGACACAGTGAGAGTAGCCTGCTGCTTCGGGGCTGTTGAGCCCAGCAACTCACTGACCTGCAGGAGGGACAAACCCAGGCAGAGAGTCAGTAATGCAATGAGGCAAGATGGTAGACCATTTTGTTAACTCGAATGTGAGATAAGTGGGGGCTGAACATTAACATACATACAGTTATTTGTGTAGATTCAAGATTTAAGATTCAAGGTTTATGTGTGCATAGCTACAGTGTGGTTATGACAACGAAAATCGTAGGTCACAGGCTCCTCCAACGGTGCAACACAATACAACAGATAAAATAGTGCAAGTAATTAAAATAAAATAGAATATAGTAGAAATAGTGCAGAATAGTCTATATACAAGTAATTGGAATATTGATATATATAAGTTGCATTTTGTTGTCTACAGTGCCAGTATATATATTCCTAAATGGTATCAGCATGTACCTATGCTTTCATATTTTAAGGAGAGTTCACCCCAACAATCTGAAATATTTGTCCTCTTTCTATGACCAGGATATGCTAGGTAATCTACAGATCTTGTTGTGACCAGTATCCTGTAGGAAACATTTTCTACAGAACTAAATCCACATCTAGTAAAGGGCCCGTGCTCACTCATTGGAAGGTGTAATGCAGTAGAAAAAGTTCCTTCATGAAACTGCTCACTACAAGGTCTGTGGATTAGTTGCTTACTAGTTAGTTGAGTAACCAGGTCATGATTTCTGGAAAGAGAGTATTTTAAATGTAATTTTCGGGGGGTTTGTAAACCACAAGCCTAGTGTCATCATGTTCGTCCATGTTCTAGAGAGATCTAACATCTCAACGGCTGATACTATATCCCACATGCAACTCAAACCAAACAAAAAAGATAATCAAGACTGATAAGTAGCACTACAGCTAACAGGAAACAAATATAGATTTTCTGAAACTCTTCAATCAGGCAGTGGGTTGGACTCACCCCAGGATCAGAGAAGACTCGTGAGAGGGTCTGGTGGTTGAAAACGCCGCTTTGAAGAAGAAGGCCACCGTGATCCGAGCTCTGTCCACTCAGGACCAGAAGCTTCTGTGCTGCAGAGTCAGTGACCAGAGACTCGATCTGACACACACACACACACACACACACACACCACACACACACACACACACACACACACACACACACACACACACACACACACACACACACACACACACACACACACACACACACACACACACACACACAGCGAGAGGGGGGAGACAGAGGACAGTTAAAGAAGAGATAACATTGCCACATTACAAAGGGAAATGCCTCTTTCACTGGCAAATAAATGACCTTTAATTGTGTCAAGGTTAACCCGATTGCCAATGTGTTCTCTGCAATAAATACAGACAAATATAAAAGACACGAAGGTCATCAGGGTTTCTATTATTATATATCCTTTACAAATGTAAGGGCCATGATTTGCTGGAATCTTAACACAATACTTATTTTCTACATCTACTGTGGTAAAAAATACTAGGATGCATTAATTCTCTGTCCAGATTTACATTATTGCTTTCTTTAATCAGATGACATGCTCAACAACTGTGGCCATTTATCAAAGACCTTATTTGTTTAGATGCCACACGACTCATTTCTAAGCGTATAATTAGACAGCAGGGCCCTGTATTCCAGGATATGATGAAATTACCTCTGATACGACAGAATCTTCTGAAGGGTTGACCAGCACTACGGTCTCTAAGACATCACTTCTGTGGTGGAGAGTCCTTTGTCCTGAAGCAGAAGATTGAAAACATAATGTCAACACCTTGTGTCAATGAAGCACTTCAGACGAAGATTAAGATTCAACTCCATCAAGATCTGAAGGTTGGACACTGTCGTCCAGCTGAAGACATCCAGCTGGACGACATTGAAGTCGTTTTCAATTGTGCCAGTTTTTAATGATCAGGGTTCATACACTTTTTCACCAATGATTTTCCAGGACTTCTCCAGGACCTTTACCTAATTTTCCATGACCAAAACATTACTCTTTCTCAGCGGTACCACTGAAAATGGTTTATTTGAACATGGAACAGGAAAATAAGGTCTGCATATGAAACATGTTGTGCCTATCTAAAACAAGCTTCTACAGACTAAAGCAGCTAACATCTCTCACCAGCAAAATACCTCGTCAGTTAAATGCCATTTTACATTTCATTACTATACGATACAGTATTTATTATCATTATAGTATTACTATTTCGGCATTTGATGCAACTTTAGTTGAATTTCCATGACTTTTCCAGGTTTTTAATGACCGTAAGAACCCTGAATGATGTATAATAGTTTATTTTATTTGCATATAGATTGGTTAATGTGCCATTTAATTTGTGTTTTTACGACCACTGTGTTCGTCTGCCTGTATTGTCTGTGTTTTATCTGTGTAACTTTGTGCATGCTGCCCTTCTTGGCCAGGTCGCTCTTGGAAAAGAGATTTTAATCTCAATGAGACTTTTACCTGGTTAAATAAAGGATATATATATATCCAGACCTAATCCAGGAAACCTCTTTGAGTCAGGGAGATGTACTTCACTGCATTCTGCTTTGTATGTGGGACAATCACGAGAGAGACGAGCAACCCACCCACCCACGTGTGCATCAACGCAAGAACAAAAGTAGGAAATGGGTCACTGTTTTCTGTTGGGGGAAAATTCAACTATTTAAAAAATCCATCCAAACTGATAACCTACCCCTAACCCCTGGATAATTCATGTATTCTTATTGTGATTCTGATACGTTTTTTCATACATTATCTTACACTATCCCAATTTAAACATCTGCTTTTCTGGACACAGACAGAAAGAAACGCCACTTGCAATCTGGTCCTGCTTAAATAGTTTTCTTATTTCTTTATTCCAGGCCAGACATATTAACAATTATGTCAATAAAAACCCCAATGCATTCAAATGTGCACACAAGACCACAGGAAACATCACTAAATGCACTGCATTGTTTAACATACATTGTTTCCACACATCCAAATGCATATTCATTGTAATCGTGCATCAGCAGTTCATTCTCAGGGCTGATAAGCTTTTAATTCCCCTTTGTTTCAGCACAGATGCACGCTCTAATATTAGACAGCTCTAATAATAGTGGTCTCTCAGTGACTCTGCCATCCCCTGAGTCTGCGGTGCTGCGCCATCTTTTTTAAGATCAGGGCTGATGACATGAGTTTTCCACGAAAAACCTCTGATGTAAATTGTTCTCACACTTAGACACTGTGATGCATAAACGACTGGGACAATTAAAAAAACTATAAAGAAGAATTGTATACAGTAAAGATGCATAAGAGAGAAAAACGTATATCAGGAAGGTAGCGCAGTATTTAAAGGGGCCCTATTATCATTTCCAGGTTCATATTTGTATTTAGTGTCTCTCCTGTGACATGTCTCCTTGCTTTAATGTTCACAAAGATTTTTCTCATACTTCCTGTGCTGCAGCACCTCTTTTCACCCTCTGTCTGAAACCAGAGCACAGTCTGCTCTGATTGGTTAGCTGGCCGACTCTGTTGTAATTGGTCAACAGATGTCCCACCTCTTAGCCTATCACGTACAGTGTGTAGGAGCGCTAGCCAATAGAAGCGTGAGTGTTACATGTGATGTCATTATGTGACAGAAGTAAACAAAGGAGTCCAATGGAGGTGTTTCAGGAAGGGGGGGAGAGAAACTCAGGGATTTTAGCTTTTGCAGACCATTTACATGCACTAAAAACTTATATATCACACTACAGGAAAGGGAAAACCCCAAAAAGCATAATAGGGCTTCTTTAAAATGCAGGTCCATCTGTGAAGAATAAGTCACTCTCACTCAAATAGAAGCTGTTATATTACAGATGATAATCACACACACATTATCTCCTTTCAACTCATGATTGTATTTTACGCTTCCTTATTCTCCATTAAACTACAGTAAATGGCATTAACAATACAACGGTGATTAGGAAACACGAGCTGAATTGAGTCGTTTTATATTCAAACACAATTTTCTCTTATCTCAAAGATAGCCGTCCATGACATTTCCTGAACACATGTCAGTATTTTCTTTCTACTCTTTCTAAATTCAGATCATGGAAACGTTTTTTACCATGGAAGCTCTTTTTGGAAAGTGTGAAAGTGTTCACCCTATCCTGTTTAAATTCGTCCAAGCAAGCTGTGGATCACTTTAAATAGCCGTTGCGTATGACAGACGCTGCGGTATATAAACAAAATTGCCTTTGCTTGTGGGTACGAGCTGCCGTAACTACGTCTGAACACAAAGTGAGGAGAGAAACACAAGGTCAGAGATAACAACGCTGACACAGCAAAACTACTTAGAAGAATACAGAAGCATGAACCAAGCAGAACGATTTGAAATGACCAAAGAGACAAAGTCAAGCCCAATGAAAGGAGACACGTATTTACTGAAGCACACTAAAGGATCATTTGCTGGGTATTTGACACAAAATATAACGATATTAAAAGATATATTTATATGTATAAAACACATTGGCGTACATTACCTTAGGTTGTTGAGAAGAATATTAACATTTATCTAGTATGGAGACTGTGAGCAGAGATCACAAAACTGCCACAGTAAAAAAACAGAAAGAAATCAAGAAGAGATTTGGGCAAATTTGGGTAAAACGGAAGTAAAACTTGATGATTGTGTTAGAATAATAACATATATGTGATACTGGCCGGTCAAATTATGAAATAGTCGCACTATAAATCATTTTAGACGTGCCATTCCTGTAGAGATGCCATCATTATTTTTGTGTTTTTGAATGTGTGTCCTCTGTGTATATACAGTATATACTTTCTCTGTATGTTTTACCTGTAAAAGAGCTTTGAGACTTTCTTTTAAATGGTGTTACATAAATAAAATCTTAATGACTTACATAAAGATTAAACAATCTGAATCACTGAAGCAAACAGGAAGATCATTGACTGTGTGTGAGAAAACAATACTGCCACGGTAGAGAAAAACTAAATATGCACCAAGTAGATCGATAGACAGAAAGACCAGCATCAAATACACATACTGTACAATTTGAGGAGTCTTGGTGGAAATACAACATATACTGTATGTCTGTCTGACTGGCCTCGAAAGACATATTTGAATAGACTTAATACATCTCCTCTGTGTAGTAGCTGTATTTAAATATGTGTCCCTTGTTTATAACTATATGCATGTGTTTACGTGTGAAAGCACTTGTTTTAAAAGCTGCTACAGAACGTAAATATAATGTTACTAATTGACATAAATATGAAACAAACAGAGGATGTGGCTCCCTCTGTTGATGTCACCATAGCAACACACTGATGTCCATATGCTGTTTCCCCTCATCAGTGCATCACTAATGTGAAATATAGAACACAGCAGACCCCCCCCCCCCTGCATGGAGGGTATTGAGTTCCCTCAGAGATCAGAGGAAGATGCTGGTGCAGCAGTGAAGAGGAGCTCTGGCTCTTCATCAGACGTGTCCGATTTCACAGAACGATGACTCAGCTGGGGGGGGCTTTAAAGGTCACCTATTATGCAAAATCCACTTTTTCATGTCTCTTCTACATAAACATGTGTCCCCTCTGTGTAAAGAGACTCTGAAAGTTTCAGGAAAAAAGATTCTCTCTCTTTTTGTCCTGATCCATTTATATAAAAACCTGTCTGAAAATGAGCTGATCAGATTTTGGCCACTTTATGATGTCATAACGATTTTTTGGCTTGAGTAACCATTAGCCAATCACCAACCAAGGTAACCCCCCCCCCCCCCCCCCCTCACCTTATCACCTGAATCTCCTCCTAGAGCACCATTGTGTTCTTTTTAACCAAATATCTCTCAGAGGGGCGTGGGGAGGGGCTCCTTATTTTCATCTAAAGTAACAGACAGAGAATCAGCACTTTGGAAACAGGGCTGAAACAGAGGGGATTATGGGATGCTGCAATGATCTGTTTGGTATTTGGAGCCAAACACTTCAGAGACATGTTTTGTATATATCTGAGACCTATAATATATTGATGAAAAACAGTATAATAGGGGACCTTTAATTGTGGCTGCGAAGGGAGTGCGATCGTCTTTCAATTAGAAGGTTGTGGGTTCGATCCCTGCCAGTGCAGAAAACATGTCGATGTATCCTTGACCAAGAAACTGAACCCTGAGTTGCTCCCGATGGCCAACGGTGTGTGAATGTTAGCTCTGTATGAATGAGGTGTGAATGATTAATGGTAGTATGTAAGGCACTTTGAGGGGTCGTAAAGACTGGATAAAGCGCTATATAAGTACAGTGTGTGAGTGTGTGTGAGTGTTAGCCTCCCCTGAGCAAGTGGTACTGCTCTGTATGAATGTTGTGTGAATGACTTGTAGTATCTTTTGAGGGGTCGATAAAGCACTTTATAAGTACAGTCCATTTACCATTTGATGCTAGTTAGCAACACAAAACAGCTGACACCTCCATGTAGATACAGACCAGAGGTCATTTCGAAATGTATTCTGTTACAGTTTAAAAAACCGGTAAAAAACTGTAACCAGTAGCTTAATCTGAGTATCAAATTATAAAATAAAAGTAATGCTATCTGATTAATTTCCATTATTTTTGGATTACCGAAATATCAAACGAAATGCAAATTTATAGAAGAGAGAATAAATATATATAAAATGTTTTTTCCTTAAGTGTACTTGTAAGAAAACAGATTAATGTGACCTTAGAAAATAGGAAACCAAGTAATTTAATATAAAAAATGTGTTATCATAAATTA